CCGAGTAGTAACTACAAATGAACCGGTCTATAGCCTGCAACGAGTGCTTCAGTATATCATTTGAGAGATACCAAATGTATAACTTACTTGAATAAGCTCCAAGAGACGATCTAACATGAAAAAGGTCAAAGACCATCGCGTTGTGCAGTCACAAAGTAATGTGATAACCCGTAGCAAGACTTTCAGGTCACCAAACCCACCAGCTGCATTTCCGTCGATTAGCGTCTTTTTGAAGCTGAGCCGTCGCTCGCTTGATGAGCGGCAGTCTCGAATGAGGGTTCAAGCAGTTGCGACAACATCATCCTCAAGTACCAACATGTACTCGGGGTCCTCTACAAGCTCCGGGGATGCCTCGAGTGGTATACGAAGGAGTGGGATACCCTTGGCAATGGCTTCCTCGTCGGATGTCGCAGGGAGATAGCGAAGGAACCTGTACTACCAGGTTCACAACATGGGGAAAGCACCTGAAGAAAATAGGGTTCAGCTGCTATGGATAACGTCACATAACAAGGGCCAAAAGAAATGCTTACCGTATACGGTTACCATCATAGCTGAAGTATATATTCAAATCTCTCAATTCTTCCTCGAATTCCTCCATAACGTGTTGTTGTTCGATGTGTTGTCCAATGTGATCATCCCGATCTTGTGCAGGCAGTTAACATCCTGAATCGCGCTCTTAAGAACCTCCACGAGAGCCTTGCCAGAATGGCCACCCTCGAGCCGGCGAAATGCGATAAGAGACGAATGGAGCTGAAGGTGGTTGTCCCTAGTACTGACCTATTTAACTCAATTCGTAAGGGCTGTGACCAGTGACCATTTCATACGAATATATGAATTTGTATGACCACCGTGTGACCTGTGACCAATTAGAAATATTCAAATGAACCTCAAGGCTACCAAGCAGTGAGCCCTCTTCTCAGAATTCAAACGTCTGATGAGCTTTTGGGTTGCTATTACACAGTAGTTATCATCAGAAATAAACTTAGAGGCAGTTCAAATCTGGTCTTCTAGCACATTTCAGTCAGTAGGAAGTTTTTTTTTGTCTCATAATTCTATTCGAGACTACAATCGACCGCATACCCACCTGTTATTCACTACCGTCTACAATGATACTCCCCAATGTCCAAGAATAGCTTACAATACCTCTTGATCTCCGCGAATGCCTCCTCCCTAGCAATACACTGTTTTTTACCAGCTAACTCTCGTTCCGAGTCCCGTATCAATGCCCGAGCTCGGGTACTGAGACTGAGAGCATCAGTCTGGAAGTGAATAAACCCGCGGCTTTGGAAGGAAAAAAATGAAAGGATGACAAACCTAAAAAGATCCGGCGGCCATATACGTTGTACACTGGCGCGGATCAGTGGAGGCACGCCAATGATCAAGATGAAGATCTTGCACTCAACGACGAGGGGCTTGAGGCAGGACAGAAAGGGAAATCTCGACAGAAGAAGTGATTTACTTTGGCGTACATAGGTAGAGTAGAGCTGCAAAGAGCGGTAGTGACGAGCTGGCACAGATTAGTCAAAAAAAAAACTGACACTTGTAATTTTTGGTCACATACCGGTCCAATTCGTATGGACCCCCTGTGACCCTGTGACCACACGTAATTATTCGTAAATTTTGAGGCCTGTGACCTGTGACCAAACGAATTGAGTGAAATAGGTCAGTATATCCCATCCAATGTGCAGTAACAGCCATGTGAGAATCAAGATTTTCCCGTGAACAGGCATCAGCGGTGAAGGATGTACGTCCATCCGAGCCCTATGACCAAGCCTAGGTCAGTGGCGAGAACTTCTTCATATATGAGTGTCCACATACCTCAATCTCTTCCCGCATCTTTGCAAACTCCTTCTCAAATTTCTCGATGATGATTTTGCACATGTGATCACGGTGAGGGATTGATACGTCGTACTCGTCAAAGTTCTCGCCCCCAACATAGTCTAGGAGGTCGCGGAACTCTTTGCAATCCATGATATTGAGTGCCTGCAGAGCGAAAGTCATCAAAAAGGTAAAAGCCGTCATCTGATAGAGTATACGTACCTCATCATAAGCAGTAATAAACTTGATCAAGTGGTCGTAGAACACTTCGACCGCAAACGGCTCCCGTTTCTTGGTACCTGTGTCAGGTACCTTCGAATCCACTGTTTCCCAACCCTTGAGGCGCTCTACCCTCACTGTGTTGCGCCAAACATCCAAATGATCATTTTTGAGGTGTCTTCTCATCGTTTCAGTCTGGCCGGCGCTATTCCCATACGTCTTCCAATCCTCTCGTCTAGTACAACAATCAATGATATAGAACAGAAGCAAAAAATACAGCACTCACTTGCAATACCGACATAGCAGACGCTTGTATTTATCTGGGGATGGCCGGTGACACGATGTCGGGTTGGGGTCGATCGGTTGCGGTACAAAGTCAAGATCGTCGATGTCGACGTGTTCAACTCCTTCGAAGAAGTACCAGACATCCGTGGCTTCGTGAGTACGGCCTGCAGTACCTTTGTTCTGCTCGACGAGGGAGGGGAACGATGTACTGGGTGATATGGTGGGCGGCTGAGATGGTGGTCCGACACCATGGAGAGTATTGTCGGTATTGGTGTTAGACAGACGTTTGCGGCGTTTGCGTGACTTCCCGGTATTGGCATTCTTCTTCCGCTTTCGTTTGTTGCTTCCAGCTTGTGTATCGTTGCTGGGAGTAACCTCATCATCTGAGCTAAAGTTTTCATTGAGTGCATCTGCATTATTTGAAGCCGGCGGAACATATTGAACAAAGGACAGGCTGGGGTTGTTGATCGGTACATTTCCCAATGCCGTTCGTGCGGGTGTAGATGTCAATGTAGACGTGGGCGTGGGCGTGGGCGTGGGCGTGGGCGTGGGCGTGGGCGTGGGCGTGGGCGTGGGCGTGGGCGTGGGCGTGGGCGTGGGCATGGGCGTAGGCATGGGTGTTGGCGTAGGCGTGGGTGTTGTGGGAGGATGAATTGAAGAACGTGAAGATAGAGCGTGTTGAATAGGACCAAATGAAGACGGGTGATTCTGCGGCGTTGGGTAACCAAGAGAATTTGGTGGCGAGAATGAAGGGATATAATTGAGAGAATAATAAGGGTGATATGTAGCGTAGTTGTTAGAGAACAAGAAATTAGAAGGGGGAGATGTATCATTGACATTGAAGGGGCGAGAATGAGTGGAAGTGGGTGGTGTTCCGAGACTCTGAGCAGACTCAGACGTACCAGCGTGGTTGTTGCTCATGAACAAGGGCCAGATCAACTCAATAGCGGGCTTGTACCTTAAATAGTCCGGAAACCTTCCAAAAACGCGCTCATCGTTGACTATAATCAACAAAGACGCGTCCAAGTCGTGACTTGAGAGCGGAGCTGGAAATCTTTGACCCTTTATCTGTTGCCAGGGATATCACGCCATGCAGGAATTTGGAATTTGCGTCATATTGGCGGTATCAAACGAGATATACAAGCTGGAAAGATATACTGAAGGGAAGGATCAGAGGAGGGGGAAAAGGCGCGATGGAAGAGAGCAATGGTCATGGTGGTATGAGGGAAAGATGTATACAATCCCGATCAGGTAAGCGTGCGAAGCTGACTCGTGTCAAAGCTCGACTCTGAATTCGAGTTGTCCATATTTGGACTTGAGTTGAGCCGAGCTCGACTCGGGGTCAAGCCAAACTCGACTCGTCGCAACACTACTCCATAGGGCATATTCGCAAATTGCTCCCAGGCAGATGGGAACGAAATCTCGGACCTTTCCGAGGGGGCTGGGAAAAGGCTGGAAAGTCGATGACGTCACTGAAAAACCAGCCCAAATCAGTCAGGCATGACGTAGACCTTCTTTTGGCTTTCTCTGAGCTGGGCTTCGGTCTGCACGGAAAGCGTTTGCGAATGTGCCCTACATTATATCTACTATTCAATCCTTTGGGCTCAATACTGTTGACGTCATAGATGGAAACAGTACTTAGAGATGTGCATGCACATTACGCAGCAGCCGCAACTCACACAAATCACACTATGCAACACACTAATCCCCACCTACACCACGAGCAATTGACACTTGCACTGAAGTTCTCCGGGGAATCGACCAATGGCAACATTCTCAACTGCACACTCTGCTCTTCGGACTCGGCTGTCCTATACCAAATCTCCACACCAGATGCTCCGGCATCGCGGACTACGATCAGGGGTGTACCCAACAACGAAGAAGTGGGTGTCTTGGACAAGAAGGGGCTCCTCAGTATTCAGAGCAGGGAGTATTTTCCCGTAGGCGGGATTCTGGAAAGGTTGGTCTTCGAATTGCTTCCAGTTTCGAGCTGCACGCTCTGTGTTTATTACCCCATATAAGTGGTACAACGTTCCAATTCTCGAACGGCGAACGATACACTTGGAAGCATCACTCGTCGAGCGGGAAAACCATTGTATGTGCAAATGCTTCTGAATTCGCCCTACGCTTTTTGTGTCTCACGCTCATCTTGTGTAGCTAACGACCTCAATTAAACCTCACGCCACAATCGCAACATACACCACTCGATACATCGACAATAAGTCACCTACGCTCGAGATCTCGAACCCTTCCACAGGTCCAACAACAAACGAGATTATCACGACCCTCGTATACACGGAACGTTGCCGACAAGATTCGTTTTCAACAAGAATCAAGAAATGGGTTCTGGCTCCTCAGCCACGAGTGACGGGGAGAGGTGTTGGGCTAGATGTTGGGTGGGCTGTTAGATGGTGAAAGCTGAAGGTGATTATGGCTCTAGCCGGGCATGAGGGGCTGATATAAACCTAAAGTGCGTGCAACTTACAATGCTTGTGTATAGTGATTGCCATGCTGTTGTAATTGAAGACTTTCTCACTAGACTCATACCAGATTGGTTGGAACTAGCCTCCGTGGCGGAAGTGAGCTTCTTGCTGAACGTCAGAAGATCCCCCAAGATATATATAAAGAATTACGAGCCCATCAGTACTTCCAAAAATGTACCCTACAACGCAAATTTATGGACACATTGGGAATTGAACCCAGCACCCCCCGCATAATCATACCCCGAATGCTAAGCGGATGTGATAACCAACTGCACCTGGACCATGTGCCCGTACTACATCGTCGTTGTATACACTATCTGCCGATGTGCATTGTTCAGTCCGTGGACCCGCTATTATGCACTCACAAAACGTGGTTCTCCCGCATTAGTAGCATCACAAGCATTTGCAAGACTTCGGAACAACAGAACTGGGATGGCCAATAAGGGATTCACTTGTCGGTTCTTAGTCTACACGAAAAGCACGAAACGGGACACGGAAGGATCACTCCGATGCCTCATGATGACCCTAAACAGATACCAGCGGATGCTATTATATACAAATCTTTATCTCAATGCCAGCGAAATTCGAAGAGAAGAACGACCCCAATAAGACGCGGACCTAGAGAATCAGAATGAGGATGGGGCCCATGGCAGTCAGGACGAGACGGCGACCAAGTACAAATAAGAATGAGGCTCATGGGCTGCGTGTGTATACTGAGAAATGGAGTTTCCGTGATATCAATCTTGAGAGTTTTGTAAGTAGAATAGTTTGTGAGCTGTTTGATGAGAGTCGACTCGATCCTGGCTGTTGGCCTTATTTTGACTCACGCATTGCTCCGAATGTCGGTAGGCTCGGAGGTTTTTGAGGTCCCCCGGTTTCGCTAGAGAACTGCGAGAGAATGAGGGGAAACATGGGCGTCCAGGAATGCAGATGCCCGCCCCACCGCCGTGTCCTAAACAATGACTAGTCTATAAGTGACTTCCATGCTAAGCGGAAGTTCGTACCGTGTACCCTTCACCGATAGCTGTATTTATTTTTACTATCGGAATGAGCAGAGTTCAACATATGGATCAACAACATTTTCCCGAGGTTTTTAGAACTATCTTAATCCCATGACCGACCTTGTTCCTCAGCTAGCCCGGTAAGGACGTAGCAGTTAGCTGTTGATTTTGTGTTGGTGAAGGAAGAAATGACGCACATTAGGACCTAAATTCAGTCAGGTCTAAATTAGGCCTTGTACGTGGGTACGAATGCTCAAACATAGCCTATAAAACTCCAATCTCCCAGATCCAAACCCAACCACCCACATCATGACACCTAAAGGTAGCGACGAGTCCGACTCGAATTCCACTGTCAACCTCATCTTCTCGGAATCCCCTGATGCTTTCCCTGAGAACTTGGACTCGACGACGGTGACGATAACACTATCTATAGAGCATGACGATGGCTCGAAGCCAGTGTACAAAGTCATCACCAGTACTCAAACCCCCAGCCCTCTTACAACTATCACAAAGGTCAACAATACGGGTCAGGGACCAGAGACAGAGACCGGAAGAATTGAATACGTTCGCGGAGACGACGACCAGTACAAGTTCAAGCACAAGATCCTCGTCGATAACACGGAGCTCGTACCCAAACATCTTGGTATGGGAACCCTGAAGGTCAAGAGTGGAACAGGGTTCGTGTTCTCGGATGGAAAGACGTACGTGTGGAGGGAGGAATCTCACTTGATTAAGAAGAAGACAATCGAGGTCGGTGGTTCTTCCGTTCCCTTTGTTGTCCTCAATCTTGGCCATAGTGCTTACTCGACTTCCGCTCTAACCATGATCACTGTAGCTCCACCCAATCAACCCGGAAGACGACCATGGAGACGACACCTCCACCCGATCACTAGTTCGGACCGGCGGCACCATTGCTACCTTCCACCATGACAACAAGAAGCCCATTCTATCCATCCAACACCCGGCTAGTACTCCAACCATCGAAGAGATTCTCACCACTTTCTTCTACGTTTACCTCCAGCTTGAGTCGGGAGGTCGAACTCGGCGAAATCATGACCCTGATGCTGAAGCATTCGCTATCAATGGAGCCGGTCACGGTCCATGTGAGTTACTCTTTTCTCAATCTCTATCGGACATCCAGGTCTTGCTTACGGGTTGTCTTCTCAGTTATCTCGGTTTGAACTATAGCTAAGGTTTTTTGGATGGGTTCGGGCTGTATCTGACTCTGATAGTATAATTAATTTGGTTTTAGATACTGTTGAGGATACAAAGGTGGCTTGTTCAGTAATCCCTAGCGTGTAGCGTCGCGACAGTATGGATATTCAGCGACTGATAAGGCGCTTAAGATGACGTAGGTGTATAGCTTCACTGACAATGTCATTGCGAGTGCTCGGGACCAACGGCGCTCTACAGGAAATCATAGTACGATTCGAAGATCAAACATCAAAGATTGTCCCGGTGAAGTGGAGGAGGACTCATACAGCACGATTTGAATGACACTCGAGCTTATTCACCTATCCGGATAGCTTGACAGTTATGACGCATTATCAAGGTTGACACGGAGAACGACGTGAGCATTGAGAACAGCATTGCCCTGACCGTCGAATATAAGATTAGTACCTGTATCATGCCTTGTCAGCTTCTCGAGCTCAATACGCCCGCATCCAAGCCTTTCTGTCGCCTATTCATACGCAGACTCTATGAGTGTCCAAATGGGAAAAAATTATTTTCCTGGTCCCGGACTATTTTCCCTCCCGGACTATCTCCCCCGTACTCATTTTCCCGTACTAGTTACTACGGGACCGGGAAATTTTGCGCACGCGGAGTATTCCCGGTCCCACAAACAAATGTCTGGCATCTGTGCTTGGGCACTTACCTGTTTCCCACCTGTTTCCCACACATATCCCTCACCTTTGGGTGCGTCCCACAGGTCAGGCTTAGTTTACTAAGCTCCAGTAAGTATCAGAATATACTTTAATGCATACTAGGTATGTGTCAGCCAAGTAGCTAACATTTCCAAGCTGGTTTGACCCCTCTACAGCAATATTATTACAGTACTCAGGACCTATCACTTAACTCTGCATCAAGTGCTGATGTTGGTGGGTCCTGTGCCTCATTGACAGCTCATTGTTTGCAGCTGTGAAACTGCATTGCACACTCCTTGTCCAGTAACCACCACCATCTGTTCTCTGGGCTCCCTTTGCTGCAACATTAGTGAATCCCTATTGTTGGATTATAGGGTAGGTGGGGATGTTGCTTTAAGGCTTGATTTCATGAATCTCATTGAATTATCAACTATCTTTTGGATGCAGGAATGCCTGAGACCTGCGAGGGAAGAGGCCATGTGCTCACGGCGCGGCATACTTTTGAGCTTGTTCAAAAGACAAATGGGGGTAAACCATTGTGTGTTGTGGCCTTATGGGCAGATTATACCAATAAAGAGGCTGTAAAAGAACCGCTCAATACACCTGCCAGGCGCGGGTATGTTGCTAGAATCGGACCTGAATCGAAACTTGAAAGAGGACCCAAAAGCAGTCAAAACTGGCTGTATCCCCCTATCCTCCGACAACAATATTTCAACTTGGGAAAGAGGCTGACTTCAACTCAGCTCTTGAAGGGGCTAAAAGCACAGGGTCCCCAATCAATTTCTGGGACAGACTGTTCAATGGTTGTAGACCTTGGTGGAGTGATATTGCAGGTGATTTTATTCTTTATGAGCCTGAATAGTCCTGTCATTTATTTTGATTGGTTAGATTCAATACTTTCTTCATACATCTCCCCAACTCTATGACTTGGAGCAATGGGATGTCATTAAAAGAGTCCACAAAAATGTTTGTGTAGTCCAGTGTCTCCACCTAAAAACTCTTTGTCTTTACCCTTGAATTCAGGACCGTGCTTTCAAGGTCAGACTTGCAATAGAGTTCGAAACACATGTTCTTGCATTCACAACCAAAGATCTGCTTTTCAAGGTTAGCTCTCTACACTTACTCATTAATTGGAACTTACAGCTTATATTAGCCATATTGGTGGACTTCAATGAATGACATTGAGCAACTTCCTGATGTTTTTCATGACTATCCTCAGTTTCTGGAGGCAATAGCAGCCTGGATTGAGGAAGAGTTCATGAATGATAATGGCAACAGAAGCGGAGTCAAGCTTGCTTTCATGGCATTTCGGGAATGCCAGGTGATGCATGGGGCAGGTGTTTATACAACGAGTGAGATTTTCTGCATGGCTGGAATATCACCATTGCTACTTGCAACAGAGGTTCTCACAAACCCATCCCGCGTTGCGCAGTTGATTCTCGCTTTCTATGCATTTGTAGCAGGGATGTATCACCAAGATTTCTGGTATGGCCATCATCAACGTGATCACTTGTCTACATATTGATATTGCTCTAGGCAGTTGATCTGACCTGCTATGTATGGCACAGTCCTTGCACCAACAATTTCACACCATGAGAAGTATGCTGGCTTCCTCACTGTATATACACAGAATGAATCACGATGTAGTATGTACATACCAGGAGTATGACCTGGTCAAGACATTCAAGGTATGTATTCTCTGTACCATATCTGGCTATGATACATACAATTTCTGTAGAAGGAACTCTCCAGGCTGGGAGAACAGCCTTGAATCTGGAAATGGGGAGATTTTGACATCAAGCTGTTTGATCCTTTTGAACTGCAACATGTCAAACTTGGCCTGGAAGTGTCAGAGGCCAACCTTGGCCATTTGGTCTTTGGTGACTTGTTGTGGATGTTGCTTCATCAAGATGTGCCAGTAACATTGGATCCTTTCACAAAGTTGTTTGTTGACCACTGTGAGCTCACCATATTGCTGATTCCTGTTGTTTTTCAAGGGTGACTAACTCAATAATTCAACAGAGGTTATACAGAATGGCACAGCTGTGCCAACACCAACATTTCTCAACCCCGAAGCATATCTAGAATTATTCCCAGAGAACAAGAAATGCAAAGTACACCCTACATTTTTCTACCAGTGTGATTCTCAGATATGGACTCTTGTTCCCAATCTCCCCCCCCCCAACTGTTGTCATACACATAGAACAACTAAGAGGACACAACCTCAATTCAGGTACGAGTTGAAACACCAGTATGAGTTAGCAGCATAGTTGACACTAGTGTTGCCAACGGCTGGCTCAGCTTGGCTCTAGCTTAAGAGCCACAGCTCAAACCGAGCCGCAGCTCCATGAGCCATTGACAGCAAGCAGCTCGGCTCTTTGAGCCGCTCAAACTGGCTTAGCCGTGGCTTGAGCTGTTAAAAAA